AAACGGGGAGGGAACGGAATTCGGCCAATACTTGATTTGAGGGCTCTGAACAAATATCTAAAAATATATAAGTTCAGAATGCTCACTCACACATCTCTGCTGCGGCTCGTGCGACAAGACGACTGGTTTACATCAGTCGACCTGAAAGATGCGTATTTTCACATCCCAGTATATTACCCACACAGGAAATATCTGAGATTCGCATTTCAGGGGATCTGTTATGAATATGAGTACTCCCCTTTGGTCTGTCTCTCAGTCCAAGGGTGTTTGTACGATGTACGGAAGCCGCGATAGCCCCGTTAAGACAACAGGGTATTCGCCTGGCGACCTACCTGGACGACTGGCTGCTTCTCGCACAGTCGGAGCAGGAGGCTGTTACGCAGACAAATGTCCTCGTAAAGCACCTGCTCAACCTGGGTTTCATAATAAACACAGAGAAGAGCATGTTGTGCCCCGCGCAGACTATACGCTTCCTGGGTTTACACCTGAACTCGGTGCCCTTTTCGCTTGTCAGCGGAAAGAGTGAAAGCTTTCAGAGCTTGTCTCGCTCTTTTCCAGCTGCGCAAACATGTTCTCTTCAGATCATGCCTGCGATTGCTGGGGCTCATGGCGTCAGCCATCCTGGTCGTACGACTGGGACGCTTACACATGAGGGAGTTTCAGCGCTGGGTGGCCGCCCTAAAACTAAACCCCGAGAGTGATGGTTACTGTGAAATGCGTAATGGCACTGCGCCACTGGCTGCACCCGACTTTTCTAGTACGAGGTGCGCCTATGGGTGCTGTCCTTTCACGGAAAGTGGTCACCACGGACGCATGTCTGACAGGTTGGGGAGGTATTTATGAAGGTCGCCCGGTGAGGGGTCTCTGGAGCAGAGACCTCCAGCGGGCGCACATAAATTACCTGGAGCTTTTAGCGGTGTTTCTCACCCTAAAACGCTTTCTGCCTTTCCTCAGGGGACATCACGTCCTCGTGAGGACAGACAATACGACCACAATATCGTATATTAACCGCCAAGGGGGTTTGCGTTCTCTCCAGTTACACACACTGGCGCGCAAACTGATCCTATGGAGCGGTAGACGTCTCTTCTCTCTGAGAGCGACGCACGTACCGGGAGTGATGAACCTCGGGGCAGATCTACTGTCCAGAGGTATACCACTTTATGCAGACTGGACTCTACATCCAAGGATTGTGAGCCAGCTGTGGGTGCGTTACGGCAGAGCCGCGGTGGATCTGTTCGCATCGAAAGACAATGCTCAGTGTCACCTGTTCTTTTCGATGCGCGATCTAAATGCACCGTTAGGCGTGGATGCACTCGCGCACGATTGGCCCCCGGGCCTTCTGTACGCGTTCCCACCCCTGGCTCTGATACCCCCAACTCTGGCCAGAGTGAGAGAGCAACGCCACACACTTATCCTGATAGCTCCGCACTGGCCAGCTATGTCGGAGATATATCAGCTGCTGTGCGGGCAGCCATGGCAGCTCCCACTACGCAGGGACATACTGTCCCAAGCGGAGGGGGGCGATCTTTCACCCACACCCAGAGCGCTTGGCTCTATGGGCCTGGCCCGTGAGTGGTACAATCTGAATACAGTGTGACATGAAGCTGACCCTGGCAGCTGCCAAGCGAGCCAGTGGCACTCATGCACTATCTGTACAGTCTTCATGCACTCAGTTCGCCCCAGGGCAAACAGAGTGTGGTTGAAGCCTGACCCTGCCTTTATCTTAAGGCGGTTGGTTCAGGTACCACATTTGACATTGAGGCATCCTCCCCGCCACTGTATTCCTCCGGGGAACAGCGGCCGGATTTGCCGTGTCCAGCCCGTGCTTTATGCACATACAGGGACAGATCTAGGGTGCTTCGTCATAATGACCAACCCCTTGTGTCCTGGGCTAACCCTTATAAGGGCAAGCCTGTTACTAAGCAACGGCTCTCCCACTGGTTTGTGGAAGCAATTGCTTTGGGGCTCATACGAATCAGAGTTCGCAGGCACCCTCGGGTCCGCGAGCTCTTTCGACTCAGGGTCTGGCTGCATCCTGGACTCTGTCCAGGATGTCTCCCATCCAAGACATTGGTGCAGCGGCGAGCTGGTCCTCGCCGCTCACTTTTGTCCGCCTCTTAACAGGCTGGACGTTCTGCTCCCAGTGTGACTCAAGCAGTGCTGGGCACCTGGTTGAGTCAGAGCTCTACCTGTTAAGTTCTGGTTGGTTTGGTGATTTTCGAGATAAGCTCGTCTGACAATACGGGAGCTACAATTATGAATGAGAACTATAGGTTACTTACGTAACCCCAGTTCTCAGAGTAACATGAAGTGAGATGTCTCACCAGACGGCCCTCCTTGCTATGGTGAAGCGAGAAGAGGTGCTTATTTTGAATGACGCATGCGTCGTGGCGCAAGCTACTTATAGGGGGTGAATTCCCTGACGCTGACGTCAAGATCACCAGCCAATCAGGATTGGCGTAATGAGATTGATGCTTCTGTTTGCTCCGCGATGAGGCGCATCCCATAGTGAGACATCTCACTTCATGTTACTCTGAGAACTGGGGTTACGTAAGTAACCTATAGTTCTAGATTGGTTAAAAAGTTATTTAGATAACAGACAACAATATGTAATTTGCTGGTAGTACATCGGAGTGTATGAACATAGAATGTGGTGTCCCGCAGGGCTCGGTTTTAGGGCCTACATTTTTTATTTTGTACATCAATGACATATGTGAAACGTCAACATTATTGCAATTTGTGTTGTTTGCAGACGACACAAATGTATTTTGTTCAGAAGATGATTTAAACATTTTAGCAAAGTGTATTGGACATGAAATGGTCAAACTTAAAAGATGGTTTGACGAAAAAAGTTAACCTTAAATTTGAATAAAACGAAGTTTATGGTTTTTGCTAATATAGAAACAAAGATGAAAAAATGTCACTGTCCATTGATGGAGTTTTTATTGACAGGGTTTCTGAATTTCGATTCTTAGGTGTGACGCTGGATGATAACCTGACATGGAAATCACACATAGCACACAACGAAAGTGTCTAGGAATATTTCTGTTCTAAACAAGGCAAAGTATTTGCTAGATTACAAGGCATTGAGAATGTTGTACTGTTCACTCATTTTGCCATTTTTCATTTATTGTATAGAAGTGTGGGGCAACACGTACATGAGCAACATAAAGCCATTGTCAATATTACAGAAAAGGGCAGTAAGAATAATTCATAAAGCTGACTCAAGAGAACACACCAACAGACTGTTTTTTAAGTCAGGACTCTTGAAACTCAAAGACATAGCTGAGCTGCAGACATTATCAGTAATGCACAGGGCAACAAGCAGAATGTTACCAGTATATTTACAACAGTTGTTTGTTTTTGGATCAGACAAGGAAGACCACAGAAGGAAATTAAATGTTAAGCATCCTTATGCAAGGACTGCTCTTAAGCAAATGTGTATTTCGGTGGTTGGTGTAAAATTGTGGAATTCTCAACAAAAGGATCTAAAGAATTGTATATGTATTTTTCAGTTAAAGATATTGTATAAATTAAGAAAGATGGGACTATATGAAGCAGAATGTGAATAAGTCTATGTACTCTGGTCCTGCATTGTTAAATGTTTTTGATTGATGTGATGTCTGTTCTTTATTTGCAGGTCCCATTGTTATTGTTGTTATTGTTATTATTATTATTATTATCATGCGCCGCTTTCCACCTTCTTCTCCAGTAGGACTCAGATGAGGGTGTTGCACTTTTATTTTCCTTATACATGTGATGTTTTGGTGTTGTTGTTTTTTGTTGTTTTGTTTCTTTCCGTTAACCGTCAAGTGGGAAATAAGTATTTTTTTGTGTTTCTCTTAGATACTTGTTATGTTTGGCTGTGAAATATTTTTTTATTATGAAGGGCAGACCATCTATTTGTATTTATTTCGTTTTTTTTAGAAAGGGGCAGGTCACATAAGATTGTATTCTTCTCCCTGCTCCTTTTCGCTCAATGGTGTTTTGGTAGAGTCATGTTTTGTTGGCAATTATTGTACATTTGGTTTTGCGTACCATGAGCAGGACAAATAAAAATGAAATTAAATGAAATATTTCTGCCCTTTTAAGGACCAATTTCAGTATTATACCATAAAGTAGTGTGTTTCTTCACAGTGTAAATATTTTGGCCAGTTGCCACTACTTTTTTTAGACTGTGAGAAGTTTAGAATAGTTGTTTAAATTAAGTTAATGTTGGGATAAGATGTTTAGTTTTGATGGTTAGGGTTGGTTAGGTTGTGTTTGTGTAAGGGAACTGTCGGACTTTTACAAAAAAACAATGTTTCCTGGTGCTACAAATTAAGCCTGAGTTGTCAGTGTACTGATAGGCCAAAGTTAGATAGTCTTTCTTAGTCTGGAGATACATCTTTTAAATTAATCACAGATAATTGGAAACATATCAGAAAATGAAAAAATTGTTTAGACACAAAAATGGAGAGTTTAAACAGATGTTTATGTAGACACTGCAGGACAGTCTTCATTGGCTGCTTATTCATTATTTTTGTATCACCTCCTATAAACTAGTGCCAATTCAGTGACTTGTGTGATTTATATGACTTTTGTTTTGTAGTTGAGTTATCATTATTTTCCTTTCTCATGAAAGTTCCTGTCTGTATCCAAAAATACTTTAAATACTTTGCATTGGTGTGTTCCAACGTTTACCATATTAATACATAGATGGAAAAAATAGCTCAGAGGCCATGATAGCACATGGATGTAATCCTGGGCCGAAAAAATGCACTGATAAATACACTGTCCACATTTTTAGTCAAAAGAGTAATGTTTCCATAATTGGTTTGGTTATGGTGGTTGTACTTGAATAGTTGTGCAAATTAGGGTTGAATAATCTATCAGAGGGAATGTATTACATCAACTATACGTAAATCATTCATTTGTATATAAGCAGGGCTGTGCAACATCTGAGACTGCAGGAAATCCTGTGCTGATTAATAACTGTATTTATCATTTCTGTCCGCTAGGTGTCACTACAGCCAAAGAAGACGGTGATGAAGCCAACGTGATGCCATGGACCAACAAGAATCAGCCACACAGACAGAAAGCTATTTAACAGCCATCACAGGCATTAAACCAGCAAGGCATTCTGCAGATTTGGGACTTTCAGTCAGTTGCATCTTTTTTCAAAAGATCAAAGTTGTTTAAAGAACTTCTAGCAAGACATTTTAGGGATATTGTACCAAGTGTGAATGGGGTTACTTGTGTGGTTGAGTCACAGGAAAGTTACAAATATATATTTTAAGCTCAGTAAGAACAGCAAACAGTCAAGTAAATGAACAGCTAAGGCAAAGGACATTTTGGGCGACGGAGGGATTACATTGGACCATGGAAACATTGAGGTTAGACTGCATGCGCCTTAATAAATGGAAGCACCTAAAACACCCTGTGCAGGTGTTTAATGTGACGACATTAAATGTGAGACTAAGGCTGATAATGTAAATGTCACAACCTCTTTTCAAGCGTATAACTAACAAACAAAAAAAGTGGCAATGGTTCACATAAAGCTCCAGCGGTGACGTCATCAGATTGTCTCCAGTGAAGCACCAGCGATAATGTTGTCACAAGTGGTGCTGGGTGTCACCCTGACCCTCCTCATCATCCTGACGATCGGTGGTAATGTACTGGTGTGCGTGGCGGTCTGCGCCTCCCGACGCCTCCGCTGCCTCACAAACTGCTTCATCGTGTCGCTGGCTGTGACAGACTTGCTGCTCGGCCTCTTGGTGCTCCCCTTCTCCGCCCTCCACCAGCTCACCAACGACTGGCCGCTCGGCCCCATCTTCTGCAACTTCTACATCTCCATGGATGTGATGCTGTGCACCGCCTCCATCCTCACCCTCCTGGCTATCAGTGTGGACCGCTACCTGGCAGTGACCATGCCTCTGAGATACACCTCACTGGTGTTGCCATGGAGAGTTGCTTTGGCCATGGCCGGTGTTTGGACAGTGTCTGTGGCTGTGTCCTTCTTGCCCATCCAAATGGGTTGGAACACTGTTAATGGCACGGTGCAGAACCAAGGGCCTTGGGCTCCAGAGAGAAAATGTCGTTTTGAGCTGAACAGACCCTACGTGCTGACTGACTCTCTTCTCACCTTCTACCTGCCTCTGGTGGCTATGTGCTGGACCTACCTCCGAATACTTCGCATTGCACGGGCACAGGCCAAACGCATCATCAGTGCCCGACCCACCTGCATCACGAGCTACAACTGCGGTAACAATCCTTCCACCACTACCACTGTGGTCTCCAGTGTAACAGCGGTGGCTCTGCGGGAGCACAAAGCCACGGTGACCCTGGCCGCAGTGATAGGGGCTTTTGTGGTGTGCTGGCTGCCATATTTCATCCTGTTCACAGTGTTGGGCCTAAAGGAGCACCCGGACCCAAGCACAGTAGCAGCATTTCCAATTGTGTTGTGGCTGGGTTATGCCAACTCAGCCCTCAACCCTATACTGTATGGAGCCATCAACAGGGACTTCAGGTCAGCATACAACCATCTACTGAGATGTAGATGCCCCACCTACATTGGGTGGAGGAGCCGGCAAGTGTCTCCCACTTTAACAGCAGGTAAAGCATAAGAAATGTTTTAGTTTGCCTATCAAATCTACACTTTAAAGTTCTTCAGTTTAACAGTCGTTGGGTGGACGTTAATTCCTGAGGACACATAGAATCCATTATATGTTCTCAATTTTTAGTATTCCGTTCTCTTTCCCCCTCTCAGCCAGAGAACATCTTACAGAGGTGACACTGCTGTGCGACCACAACCTAACCACCTGCAGGGCCAGTCTAACAGAGCCCAGCTTAATGCTTCAAGAAATGAACAGTGGGACAGCCACAGCTACTATTCAACTTACAAATGGCACTGCAGCCACAGATGTCAATGGGAATGAAAGGTACATTATTATTATTTAGCTTGGGGCTGGGCTACATGGACAAAATCTTGTATCCTGATATATTACATATCTCAAGTATAGCACTTTGTCTGGCATTTTAATAAATAGTCTAAATGAATTAACCACTAAAGGGTTTTTTGTATAATCCTGTTTGAATTTAATTATAAATGTAAGAGAAATTTGAACTTTAATCTTGGGAGGATCTTCCCTCACAATATTTCACATCTCCCTTTTAGGTACCTTAAATTAGTGTTTGCTTTTGAAATTATGAATCATGATATCTTGATATATGATTTACTCACGATATGATCCCATTGAAAGACGATAAATTGTCATATTGTAATTTTGCCCATCCACAGTTCAACTAGATTCATCTGATGCGTCATGACTCAAACGTAAAATGAAAAGAATCTGACATGATGCAGTGAAATTGTAACATAAAACTCAATGACTAAAAATCAATGAAAATTGACCTGTTACACCAGGGGGGGAGTACATCAAACATGTATGTCTTAGTGTGTAATTGCACTGGTTTGTCTTACTTTCAAACACAAATAATCTGAATAAGTCACACAAACACTCCTCTAATCTTTCACTCTATGAGCGCAGGTCGTGCTGAGCCTGTGCTGGTGAGGTGTGCTGTGTTCATACTGTGGTTGCAACCAAGAGCCAGATCCATCCACCATAAGAGGAAGAGCAACAGACAGTCAAAAAGATAGACAGAGATTTACAGTCTTTCTATTTGGAAGCCTTCAGTACTGCAGTAGAAGCTCCGGTAATTGACGACGTAAGTAAATATAGACACAGACATCTCTACAACCCCCACAGAGCAGGTCATGCCCAGAACAAATTAACTGTGACACACAGACCCACGCTGCAACAGGCCATATGGCATTATGCTTATTAGGCCAAGAAATATGCTTTCAGCTCAGAAGTACATTATCCAGTTTCACATCCTGCTCACATGTCTTTGTTCACACTTTGTGAACAGTTTCGACTAAGTGGTTTGCTCTTTGTATGTGCTGCTTTGTAAAGTGTGTACTAGTTTAACTAGAGTTAAAGCAAGTCATTTTTTTCTTCAAGATTACCAAAACATTGTAAGGCTGCCTGGTAAAAGCTGTACTCAATGTTCAATACATTGTAACTGAAACATTAACACTTTCCAAACCTTTTCTAAACATTTTTAAAAAAAACAATGAGGCTTGAATGTAACTAGCATCGTGAATCATCTTTTACAGTTTGTTACTTTAACTATTTTTTTCAAACTTTCATTTACTAACAATAAAAGCTATTTTATTTATTTTACTTTATACCTGCTGGAAAAACTATAAAATTGTTGTTTACAGAATATACTTCGTAAAAAAAAATTGAATGGGTACAAAACGTTCTGTATAACCTCCTGTACCACCCATCCTACCTCCTAAACACTACTGTGCTGCCTTGATTTGTTTGCGATTGTTGATGCAGAAAACTGAGTAGGAGCTAATCCAAACTAAGCACAGTGGTTTAGTGAATGATTCTTTCATCCCTGCATTTTGTACACCCAAGGTGATGAATCCTCTTGATTTGTGTGTCCCTTCTACCTGTCAGCAACCACTTCACCACCAATTCAACAACAACAATTGGAGAAAATTGGACCTCATGTACACCACACCTCATCAGCAGGCACACATTTCCACACACAGCCGGCCTCTACTCGTTCAGGACCGAACAAAGATGACGCCTCCGTGGATGGATCTAAGGGAATCTTTTCACCTCAGCCATCACACAGGGTGACACATGATATACTCAAACTAACTCTGGATAATATTGAAGCTCTGGAGGACCGATTGAGACCTGCTGATTAACTTATTGCTCATTAATTGTATGAACTATATAATTTATGCTGACTCAAGAGTGCACTCCAGTGGAAACACAAAGTATAACAACTTTAACCTGGAAATACAAATGGGTGTTTTACAAAATCAAAAGAATGGAAGATAAATAGTTGATAAATAGACCATTATTAAACTTACCATTTCATGTCAAATGTGTTGAAATATACGACATGTGTATGTATAGCATACAAATTAATGTTACGTGTCTACTTTTTGAATACAGAATGTGTCTTTATTGTTGCTCAGTCAGTGGCATAACGCTTGCAAGTGTATGTATTGTATGATATTGTAAAGGTAATTGAGGACTGGACGTTATCCGTTACTCAAAAATACAAAACTGCAACCATACTGTACCAATAAAGGGCAGCTTCAATAAACAATCTAATATATGCTTCCATTTTGGAGGCAATACAGATGGACTGTAGATAAGTATGGATAGGGATTATCATGTGGGATGATGTAGAAAACACTGTATGAGTGGTAATATGAGAACATTGGAAACAATTCATCACAGCTGTCAGCACACATTGCCTCGAACTATTGCCACATTAACATTTAACCTTCTCCATACTTCAAGCTATTTCCTTTGAGGACTGACACAGAAGTGCAAATAATATCCATCTGCATGTAAGGTAGCAGCTGTACACAAGTGATAGAAGGATTTTTACAAGCCATTAAACCACATGGAAACACTTACTTGGTATTTATAACACCTAGGGTAGCTATTCTTTCAATTTAGCTCAACAGATTTTACTCTTACCCCTCCCTCCTGTTTGCAAGGAAATGCTCTATTTCATGTACAATTAGACTATAAACGTTAGTGACAAAACACACAGCACAAGGTCAGGAACACTTGTGTAAAGCACTTATACTGTTAGATTTGGTGGAAACAGCTCTGTCTTTAATTAGAGCTTTCAATCAATCCTGCATTCAGTTATTCTCATACACATACAGTACTACACTTGCCTTAATCATATAGGGATTGTTGACATAAGGAATCAGCAGTGTTCAAGGGAGAACTTGCCATTTTAAAATGCCATTTAGTAAATGTGATTAGATACATGTTTCAATGCAATTCTCCACCATTCTCACTTTGACCCACATAAGTCTGTGTTGTACTACATAATGAAGAATGCATTTTATTACTGTACCCCTGTATTGTTTGTATGGTTGTTTATCAGCAGGGTAAGAGGAAAAGTAGTAGCTGATTTTCATAAAAAACGTTGTGCGAGAGTGTAGCAAGGGCCAAGGAAGAACCAATTAAATGTATCTATTTAATAAAGAATCTATAATAATAACTATGAATATGTTATGTTACATGTTACATTTGTGAAGATGTTAGTAGTATGAGATAAGGCCTTGACTAGGGTCTCCACTCTCTAAGATCCATTGTGCCATCATGTTTGTATCACTATATTACAAATACCTATCACGCTACCAGACAACACATTGTAGCGTCACCCAAATGCTGCATACTTATTACCCGTATCAGAAACATACCATTATGTCCTTTCTCAGGCTTTTGTTAATGTGACCATATCAGGATGCATCGTTACAGCACGGCTCAGCATAGAACACAAACAATAATTCCTAACAGAGGGACAAAAACTGTTATTTTTGAAGATACCCACTTGCCTTGGCTGTAGATGTACAGACTGTTGAAGCCTCTAAGACATGGCTGATTGTTACAATGCATTTTTGCAAAGAATAAGTACTAGATCTCATCCCAATTTCTTACAGTGAAGCAGCGCAAGAAGGGACTTTTGAGGAGGAATGATTACCCACTCTTTCCATGTACTGAGTATTTTATTAACATCATAACAACATTGTATAATTTAACTGCCCTTTAAAGGGCCTTTTCAAACATCTGACTCAGAGAAGAAGAAAATGACGAACAGATGCAGTAAATATTTCTTAGTTGGGTTTTTCATGGCTAGGAAGCAAGGTATGTAAATAACTCACAGAGTTGGTCTTATCTGCACTCCGTCCTCTCTAACTGAAAGACATTTATTATACTTTTATCTCTTTGAGTCCCTCTATTCCTTCATAAACATGATGTGTCCCCTGGTAATTCTGGTCACTTGCTACCCATCTCCATCTCTTGACCATTGACAGCTCAAAGTACATGAAAACCATTCATCATTGCTTCCTTAACATCAGATTAATGTGGGGGAAACAAAACATATGGACTTTCTTTCTCTCATTCTGTCACTATAATGTACACACACACACACACACACCCACACACACACACCAATACAGTACACACAGCCGGCTAGCTTTGTATAAGCTATCAATCATAGATATTGTCATTATTCAACTCTGTCATCGACAAGCCCCTCTACTTCTCTTTCTCTCCAGTCTGACTCGCTCCCTTCTTCCTTTCCTCTATTCCGTCTCTCCTTCTCTCTCACAGACATACACACACACACACACACATACACACACACACACACAAGAGAGGGAATCATGAATCATAAATCTTATGAATGCCATCTAAAGACTGCTCAGTGCTATGAAAAAGAGAGATGATTGATCGATGTGAGGGGCTGAGGCAAAAGCAAAGAAGATGGCCAGAAGGTTGTAACCAGCAACACTGAGGTCAGAAACTGCAGTTCAAGGGTCAAACGTATCGGGGAGGCACAATATGGCCAAGAAGGAAGGAAAAAACTGGTGGGGGGAGGGGGGGAGGGGGAAGAGAGGAGGGAGTAAATGGTTGAAGGGGAAGGGAGAGAGGAGGGATGGGGAGGGTGTAGGGGGATGCTGCCACAGTGAGGCTAAAGCCATAACTCATCTTTTATTAAAAATAATGAAAAAAACTTAATGAGTTAATAATATCATGGAGAAAGAGATAGGGAGTGAGACAGAGATGAGGATGGAGGATGGGACGGGAGGATGGAGGAAAGGAAGGAAGAGAAGAAAGGAAATTAGGATAAAGAAAGTGAGGTGGGGATAGAAAACAGAAGAGGGTCAAAGTGTGCTTATTTTCAAAGTTCACACAAGATCCATTACAGCAGCAGGGACAATCATAGCGATCCCCCTCTTTCTGCCGACCTAAATCCCAAAGCCTGCCTGGTAATTAAAGGCACTTAACAACCAATTAACGGTGATGAGCTAAATTAGCAGGATATTGTCTCCTTTGACTAGGCTACTGCATTATCAGTGTATTGAAACAGCGTTGAACAAACCTCAGTGGCCCGTGTTTGCATGTAGGCAAATCACGGATTAATTACTATTAAAACATCAGCATCGTAATGAGCTTGGAAACAATTAGAGAGGTCGTTAGCATGTGGAGAACGGCTGAGAACAGAGGAAGGGGGAAGAGAGCACAAAACGAGAGAGAAATCTTCATCGGGATGCAATACTGATTAAATGGACGTACGGTTGCACTCATCGCCCAATATCCACGGACCTATTAAATACATGACATCATCATTAGTCTTTTCTACCATCAAGCTACTTTTCTCCTGCCATTATATATTTCCCTCTTCTTCTCCGGCTTCCCCAACTCTCTGCCTGCGTGTTGCCGCTCATAAAAAGCCTTTTTCTTGCTCTTTTTCTCCTTTCTCTACTTTTTCACTCGCATTTCTCCCTTCCCTCCTTCATGCTTGGGGGGCTCAGTCCTGTGAAGGAATTTAATATGCAACTTTTATATGAGAAACCAATCGCATACGTCTGGGTCTATTGGGCTCGCAATCTATCGGCCCGGACGGCTAATGCAATAGAGAGAGCCGGGGCTATTTATCACACAGGGAGCTATCTTTTCCCCTCTCTCTCTCTCTCCCACTCTGCCCTCGCTCTCTCTGTCTTTATTCAAGCCCAGATTCCTGGCTGCCACTAAATCAGGCCAACTATGAGCTATGGCTGCCCAGAGGGCATCTCCTCTTTTATAGAGGGATTTGGATTTTGTATCTGGTTCCTCAGTGGTCGTTGAGACTGTGCTAACGGAAGCTATAAACATTCAACAAACAAAAGGCAACCACTTAAATGTTCCTCCGTCCCTACTGTAATGATCATGAACGTGCAGAGATATATGGATGCAGGGCGATGCATAAACCTGATGAATAACATATCACCGGCATTTAGAGTGATGCTGCAAAGATTTGTTTGTGCATGTCAGACATGCATGCCTGCAAAGACTATACATGAACAAATATATATACACATACATATTGTGATATAATTTGCACAAAATACTAATACTAGTTGTACACAGCAGTTAGCAGACAACTTCAAAAGTTTCCAGCTGGAAAACAAAGGCAACAGTGTGCAGGCTGCCCACCTGCAGCAATTAAAATGCCTCAGAAAACCCAAATTCATTTCAACAAATTAGCCACATTACTGGCCACTGTGTAATCGCTGATGGCAATTAATAAGAAATTAGTCACAATCAGCCCTATATTAACATCTCACCCAGGGGCCGCGGCTGGAAATTAATAACCAGAGATCCATCTCTCTTACTGTCTTTCTGGCTCTCTTTCACACTCACACACACACCAACACACACACACACACACACACACACACACACACACACACACACACACACACACACACACACACACACACACACACACACACACACACACACACACACACACACACACACACACACACACACACACACCTTTGCCCACCTATACGGTTCCTGAATCTCCTCTAAGAGTGTTTTTTTTCTGTGTGGATCGTCTCATATGATTTGCAATCTGCTCATGTCAGCTAGCCAGCTTCCTCTTTACTGGGGTGTGAAAACCCCCTGAAAGAGATGCGTGTGTGTGTGTGTGTGTGTGTGTGTGTGTGTGTGTGTGTGTGTGTGTGTGTGTGTGTGTGTGTGTCTATGTGTGTGTGTGTGTGTGTGTGTGTGTGTGTGTGTGTGTGTGTGTGTGTGTGTGTGTGTGTGTGTGTGCGTGTCTATGTGTGTGTGTGTGTGTGTGTGTGTGTGTGTGTGTGTGTGTGTGTGTGTGTGCGTGTCTATGTGTGTTGTGTGTGTGTGTGTGTGTGTTGTGTGTGTGTGTGTGTGTGTGTGTGTGTGTGTGTGTCTATGTGCGTGTGTGTAAGTGAGTATGTGTGTGTTTTCTCACCAGTGCATGTACAATCAACACATGTGCCTTGAAGTTTGTGGACATGTATTTAGGGATAAGCAAAAGATCTTAGTGATGTTTACTGCGTGTGTGTGTGTGTGTGTGTGTGTGTGTGTGTGTGTGTGTGTGAGAGAGAGAGAGATAGGTGCTACACAAATGAGGAGAGGGCATCGGCGGGGACTAGGCCCGCCTCTAGGGGTCCTCACACCAATCAGTAAAGCGCTCCAAGAATCAATTAACACCAGTGGGAGGGGGCAGAGGGTAAGGCACCACACATACTCAGACACACACACTGTCTGCACACACACTGCCCACACACATGGTACTGTCTGAGGAGATATCCATCAGATCACATGGTGTGCCAATGTGTGTTTGACAGTGTGTGCGTCTTTGAGTGTTTGTGCCCCTATCCTGGTGTGCCCCGGTCTCTCATGGTGTGAGGTTGGGGAACAGATTGGGGGTCAGCAGGGGGGTCAGGACAGGGTCACCCCCATCTGAGCTGTGTGTGTGTGTGTGTGTGTGTGTGTGTGTGTGTGTGTGTGTGTGTGTGTGTGTGTGTGTGTGTGTGTGTGTGTGTGTGTGTGTGTGTGTGTGTGTGTGTGTGTGTGTGTGTGTGTGTGTGTGTGTGTGTGTGTGTGTGTGTGTGTGTGTGTGCGTGTGTGTGTGTGTGTGTGTGTACCCTGACCACCACTTCTAGGGCTCACTGGCAGGCAGAAGTGAATAAGATGGATGGTGTTGATTCATACTCTGAATTCATTGCTCCCCCTGAATCCATGGAGAATAAGTACATCCACAGAAATTATGAAGCAAGGGACCAAAATGAGTATCTCACATTTCATATTCCTCCTTCACTTTCTCTCTCTCTTTTGTATCTCTCTGGTTTGGGGACAGCTGCTGGCTACATGAAAACCATTCATCATTGTATCTTTACCACCAAATGATTGACAGAGAGGAAGAGGATGAGGAGCTTTATTGGCTACATTTTACAAGGTTGGACAACGAGAAAAGTCAACCATCAGAGAAAACTTGAAAACTTCATCAAGCAATAACAAAAGGTAACCATGTTTTGGGATGGTGCGGATGCTTAGCTGAAAAGAAAAAGCAGAAAAAAGGGCAAGAAAGTGAAACAAGACATTTCCGCTTCAATAGGCAAAACTGAACGGCCAGATAAAGTGATCAAAGAGTGTCTACCATTTGCCCATGAACGTTCCACTGCA